CGTAGAATCATTAATTTGTATCGACACCTTCTAAATTAATGGCTTTCTTCATCGACCATCTTATGTTTCCTCTTTCATTAAGTAATAAATGGAGTATACAAAAGTAGAACTCAGGAACAAAAGAATACGAAATTGAAAAAACATATAAAGCAAATCTTAAGAACAATAGCAAAATTAGCGCCTGAAATTCATTCACCCATCCGGCCGCTGAAATAGGTTAACAAATTGTTATAATCAAATAGAAATCCCATCATTAATATATATAATGTATTTGACAAGAATATTACAAGTATTGTATATTGTGAATAGAGAATATTACAAGAATATTACAATATATTGTATATTGTGCATCCCCGGTCTAGAACTGTCTGCTCCAAAACAATTTTATGCGCCCCGCGAATACCTTCCAATTATGCATTTGTTGCAATGACACTATTGCAAAGATTTCATTATTTTAGTTACTCGAGGTCTGAGTTTACATTATTATCATTATTATTAAATACGCACATGAAACAACAAAAGAGAAAATCTTTAGAAATAAAAGTAATTAGTTTAGAATGTGATATAAATCTTATTCAAAAATTTGAAGACACATATTTTATTAACATTTATTCGTACATTTTATTGATCAAAAAATAAATACTCCGTTACGACATTTTCGCGTTAAGAATCTCTTTGTTTTCAAATACATTTCTGTGTGAAAACCTTTTTTCCATGTTTGAAAATTAATAAGAAAGGAACTCGATTGACAGATGAGCATCTGCAATCAGTGATGAATATAATTTCTCGTAATTTTCAAACTTTATCAGAATCGAAATGCCATCAGATATCAAGCTATGGTAAGAAATAAAGAAGTGTATAAATATTTACATACAAGCATATATATTATTTTAATTTTCTGTCGAAGAAAGGTTTAATAAATAAGAGAAGAAGGCTAAATTGTCATTATTTATTAAGTTTTGTTCCACTTGAATAGAATTTTCAGAAAATTTTCAGGACTTTACAGAGTGATTATTTTTATTTTAAATTAAAATAATTTATTTAATGATTAATCGAGCGTATTAAAATTGTTCGAAATTAATGCCAGTCCTAAAATTTAATATTTAGCTGTCAAGATGTTTGAGTTACGAAGTTGTTGCCAACAAAAATGTCTTGAAGGTACCAAACTTTAATTTTCATGCAGAAAATAAACATAAATTTGTATTTTTTCCTTTTGAGGTGTTCCTTTTATTATGTATGTTTTTATAAATACGTAGTAAACCAAATTTAAAATTTAGTATAATTATCTTTTATTTTGCTGAAAAATTTTTCATTTTTTGAAAATAAATAAATAAACAACTTCTCGACCATCAGCTGTTTTCAGATCGTTTAATGGGCCTACAGGCAATAAGAGTTTAACTAATCATTAAATTACATAAGTGCACCAAGCGCAGCCATCACATTCATTAAAATCGAAATTTTATGCAATTAGAATCCGTGGGTTTTTTCTGAAAGTCGTTTACATTTATAAAATTTAAAGTAATAATACTACTAATAATAAAATTCATAAAATATAAATTTAATAGACCCTTTATTTCAAAAATTTTGTACGTAAACTTTGTCTAATTGCTGTAAATATGTCATTTATGTACAATTATGTGTATTAAGAGTATGTTGTATTCTATATAATATGGAGAAAATGCAAGGAGTTCGAGGAATAGAACAATGGTTTTTGAAGGGGTTGATGCAAGAAAAAGGTTGTGAATCTTTGCTCTTGAGAAACTGGATTACTAAAATGATACTGCTTATCAACAAGAATAATTTTCACATAATTCTGTCTTTTGAAGTCCGTTTTTATTTTATCTTTCACGTTCTCTCACTATTTCATTCCAAAAATTAAGCGAGCTAAGCTACTGACATTCATTTTCAATCCTTTTTTTTTTTTCAGTAATATTTCTTACGAAAAGGTTCATTCACTGTCCGGAAGCACTCACACTTTATCGCCATAAACTACAAAAATTGGAACCACCGAACCCAAAGCTGCGGAATTTTCCCCTCATAATTCTCGACAGAGAGAACTAAAGTTTCCTTTCGTCTTAAATTAAGCGAAGACTGTCATAAATCTATCGGAATAAAAAAATTCGCAACAAAGAAACAAAACTACTTCGGAAACTCCTTTGCGCTTGGCTTCCTTGGTAATGATCAGAGAATATGACTTGCGTTTTGCAAAGTGAATTGAAATTCCATTTGTTTTCGGATATTGTGATTACCCTTAGAAAAATCTTTTTTTTTTTTTTTTTTTTTTTTTTTGATTGTGTCTTGACTTAGATTTTAGATAAAATGTATATATGAGGAAAATATATGCTTTTATTTTATGGAATAATGCATTATCGTTATTGATTGGGAAGCAGCATTTCGTCTTAGATGACAATAATAAACAAGTAAATGTGTTTTCCATATCTTATAGCCTCTAAACCTCTTTAAATGATGAGAGGAAAATATAGTACTTTATATGTTTTTAAACTATATTGAAGAATATTAATTTCTGCAAAATTAGATAACACGACTACCTTGTGTTTGGTGTTTTAATCAAGACTATCGATTTTGAGGGCGTACAGGTGTCTCTTCATTAGGAGCAAAGAAACTCCGTTGCAGATTTCGGTTTATTTTCATGCACAAAATGAGTAAAGCGGAGAGAGGACACCGCCAACTGTCAGCAGAAATAGCAACGAAAATTGAAAATAGAATTTTAAAAATGTTAGAAAAGGCTGGGTTGGAATTAAAGTCAATAACTTAAACCTTTGTGAATGTGAAAAGCTGCGACAAAATCCAATTCAGTAACGGAAGAATCTTTTTGGATATTTTTACGTTGCATTACATTGCATTTTACAAGTCAAAATTGTATTAAATATCCGACTAAGATTAGCTGTCGAAGACTTTCGCTTTTTCAAAACATACGATTCGTATTCCTTGATGCGAACCTTCAGGCGCTCTTAATTGGTCGGTATATCTCAAACTCACACTGACAAGATATGCTTTAAATTCCTGAAGAATTGAAATCAGAGATGGAATCTTTATGAATGAATTTTATTGATAGGCGAGATAAGTATCTAAAAACAACTTCTAGATAATCCGTGCAATATTGTAATTGAGAGAAAGATGAAATAGAAACAACTCTTTACTCCTTGTGTGTACATTAACTCCGTTAGTTCAGTGACTTAGATATGTGTATTAATGAACCATTCAAATAAAATTTAAAATGACAGTGGAATACGGGGTTATTAGAAGGGGAAATAACATTTACTAGAGGCCAAATTCTTCATGCCAGTCTACAATTAATGTATGAATGGATAATAAAAGCATGGAATGAAATTAACCTCGACATAATTCAAAAGTCATTTAAAAAAAATCTCGTCTATATAACAGTCTAGATAGAACAAAAGATAATTATTTATTTATTCAGCAGAGTAGCATTGATGGTGAAGATGAAACAGAATTCGATGATGTGCCTGAAGATATACGGAAAATGAATACGACGAACGTTTCATGTTATCCGATCAATAAAATTCTGAAGTTCTTATGCCATTTCTTTTAAATAAAAGGCATATAGGTACATGTAAAAACCTAACATTTGTATGCTCATTTTTCCTTACTATTAAAAGGATCAGTTTTATAACCCGCGTATAACGTAAATTAATTATTGTGATTTCATTTTTCTTATTTTTTGTATCTTATTACTCCCTTGCACGAAGTAAAAAGCAAGCACTGTAATCGCGAAAAATTTCGGGTATCATATTTCAACGAAAATATCCATTTTGACAGCTATCGAATGTAATTTAATACTAGAAGCGCCGTTGGGGTCATTTTGACCTTTTTCTCAAATTTTCCGTTTTTTTTTTAACATACAGATGAGCTTCCAAGCTGATATTTTTTTACTTTTTCTAAAATGTTTCCAAGTATACTATGCCAATTTTTCATATTTCTACGTTAATTATTTAAATAAATAATCGCAGATATACCTAAAATAGCCAACTGGGGTCATTTTGACCCTCATAAGAAAAACGACATATTTTTAAGCGAATGTCCGTTTTCGAATTCCCGATGCCACGTTTTCGTTTTCTGTGCATTGGGAAACACTCAGCTCTTATTGCGATTACTTAGGGAAGAAAAATAAAATCCAGAACGGAGCATATTCTCTCTCCATTGCAATGCCGAGAGGAAGAGAATTGAGTACACAAGAGTGCCTTGCCCTCCTTGAACAGTTGGAATCAGATATAAGTGGTGATGATAGCAGTGACGAAGATTTTCACGTTGATGTGAACTTACAGAATGCGTTGCTCTCTGAAAGCAGTGATAGTGATGTCGAGCACAATTCTGGAAATGTGATCCCTATGCGGGAAGCCGGAAGCTCACGTGGACGTGGTCGTGGTCAAGGACGAGGCAACAACGTTGCTGGCAGCAGTAATGAGAAGTATACCTCATCCAGCGGTATTCTCTGGACACCTATGAACCTTAGCAGCATCGCTTCCACTTCAGGTCGCACGCGAGCTCGAAATATTGTAACCACTGCAAATGGACCAACGTCATTTGCTTGTCGTAATATAAGAACAAATCCTGCTTCAGCGTGGCGTTTGATGGTGAGTGAATCAATGGTGAAACACATTCAATCCTTTACAGTTGCTGAGGCACGACGCCAACTTAGAGATGATAGTAACTGGCATGTTACTCTGGAAGAACTTGATGCCTTTTTTGACCTTCTGTATGCCCATGGAGCACTAGGCCATTCAAAACTTTGTGCAGATGATTTGTGGAACAAGAATTGGAGACCACCTGTGTTCTAAGAAACAATGTCACGCAATCGGTTCCGTGAAATAATGCGGTATCTCAGATTCGATGTCCAAAGCACCAGAGCTGATCGTCTCGCCACTAACAAATTTGCTCTCGCTCGCTTCTGAAACTTGGTACAAGATAATGGAAAAACTGTTATTTATGCTATAATCCTGGACCAGAAATAACCGTTGATGAACAATTGTTGCCTTTGTAAATCAAGATGTAGATTTATCCAGTACTTGGCGGATAAACTGGACAAGTTTGGCATAAAATTCTGGCTACCAACTGACGTAAAATCCAAATATGTTTTGAATGGTTATCCTTATCTGGGCAAGGATGAAGAACGACCAACTAATTTACAACATGGGGAAAGTGTAGTTCTCAAATTACTGCAACCACATCTGAATTCCGGACTCAATGTCACAAAAATTCTCACAACTGACAATGTTTTTACTTCTGTGAAACTTGCAGATGAACTTTCTGTGAAAAAAACCACAATTGTCGGGACGATGCATCTGAATAAGCGAGAATTACCCCCTATTGCTCGTGACACTTCTTCGGCACGATATTCATCTTTTGCACTGAAAAATGGAAACAAAACACTCACAATATATAGGTGCAAGAGCAAAACGAATATCGTGATTCTGAGCACGATGCACAGTAACGTGTTTGTTGACGATAGCATAAAGAAAAAACCGAACACTGTCACTTACTACAACAGTACAAAATGTGGCATTGATGTCGCAGATCAGATGCTGAGGAAATATAGTACAAGTAGTGGAAGTCGCAGGTGGCCTGTACATGTTTTTTACAACGTCCTTGACATTGCTGCACTCAATGCTTGAATTATCAATTTCCCGTCGAGAATTTATTCTTGCACTCGTGGAAGAACTACGAGTTGGTGCACTACGCAACAGATGCCCCCCGATTGCTCAAATACAGACACTTAAACGAAAGAAATGTGCATTTCAAAGTTGCAAGGGACAAAACAAGACTTGTCAGCTCTGAGGGATGCCAGAAACCAATTTGTGGTAAATGTGTTGCTGTCATTGTCAAGCAAGCGTTCATATTGTATCACCTGCGGTAATGTATAACAAACTTTGGGAAACATTGTGTGTTTATTCCCAATTTATTTTATTTTATTTTATTTTATTTTATTTTATTTTTTTTGTAATTTTTTGCATAAGTTCTATTTTCCACTTTTTTGCATTTGTATCTTTTGTTTGTTTTTCATAGATTTTGTTTTTGTTTTTGTAATCTTACATTGAAAGATATTGTGTGCTAATTTGCACTAATTGCATGAAAAAAAATTCTAAATATAAAAAATAAAAACCTCTAAAAACTCTTTTATGTGGACATTTCAGCATCATTTCAATCATTTACTGTGTTTCTACTTACATTTCTTATGAAGGTGAAATTGACCCCCAATCGCGGTTTTCGGTTAGTCTGAAATTCGGCTCTTCTAGTATTAAGGTTGTTTTTGAGTGACATTTGTACGTAAGGACAAAATAAAAGACTCTTTTTCCCCAAACGAATTATAAAACTAATTTAAAATGAATTCAGAAGAGATTTTGTTTCGTGGCGTCTGTACGTACATGTGGAACGTATGTATATACTATCTCGCATAACTCAAAAACGAGTAGCCTCATTTTTTATTTTTTGATTATTATGAAATTTTGTATATAGGACTGCTATAATATGTAGATGTGCACCTCCTATTTTGGTTGCACAATCGGCAGCACCAAAAGTACATAAATTATATATATATACCCACTCTGTTACTCGGTTAAGTGAGCTCAGTTTCTTTATTCTTATATGTTTGCAAACTGTGCATTTTTTGTTTTAAAAATGCTTGAATTATGTTGTTCTTATCTTCTGGTTAAGGATTTTATGCTTTTAGTTAATTGCATGTTATAGTTGTAAAATTATCAACAATTTAAAAGTTGTTTAAGTGAGGCTAAACGTAATTTTTACCACAGCAGCCATATTTGTTTACTTTTGGAACTTAGTAGAATAGTGGGTTTGTTGTCAATCTAAAGAAACTAAGCTTCGCGACAACAAAGATAACGTCTTCTTTTATTATTGAGAATTAAATCATGCTTAGTCCATTCTGAAATGATCATTCCAGAATTTAAGTTATTAAATTATCCCATATATTGACTCAGCATAGCATCCACAACAAATTAAGTCAGTGCACCAAAAAATCTGCCTTCCAGCACGCTGGCCGAATTAATTGTTTTTGCGTAAAACCTACAATTTTAATTGTAAAAAAAGTTTTAAATTGTTTTAACTTTATTTGATGTTTTATTTTTTTCTGTATCTTTGAATTTTAATATAAATATTTTGAGTTTTTATGTATTCATGTTTAATGAAGTTTGTTATAAAATATTTTATGAACAAATACTTGCGTGTTACTTCTTACACCTTCTACAATTAGCCCTTATCTCGCCTTAGAGTTCATAAATGAACTTTTCCGTTACAATTCCAGATAGTCAAGTGTTAATGATTTCTTTCCTAAAATGCTGCAAAAATACGTATATATACTTTTCTAGTTGTGTTTATATCAAATTAGTTATGAATTCCAATGATATTTTGAGGAATATTTTTCTCATTGCTTAATACTGTCATTCGGTTAAAATTACCGAAATATCAATAATATTACCAAACTCATATTAGATGGCGCTTAACTGTAGTTAATTTTGAAAAACTTTTATTACTTTTTTCAAGCACCCATCCAACGGTCCTTTATCTGAGAGTAATTCAGTGGATATTTACGTGATTTAGGTACAAGTATAAGAAAGACAGGACAATAACAGAAAATAAATCTCAGTGTCACAGAAATTGAAACCATGTTGACCTGATGAGATTCCAGAAACGAAATCTGGAAAAGACGTTCCTTTCCGGAAAAGATGTCTTTTCTTTTGGGTGACTGCACTCAAATTCTATCTTCATTCAAGTTCAAATAAGAATGAGAACAGAACAGCAATTTTTCCTTTGATAGGTGAACGTCTGGAATGACAATCTCTTAAGAGAACATTTTTGAGCTTCCTTTCGGTCCAAAATAGGAAGACCTTTGTCAGCAGTGGTTGTTTCAGGAAGAATGGTATAAGTTTAATTAAATTTAGCAGAACAAGAAATCTTTTATTTATTTAAAAGAATGCTTCTCAACTCCGGAGTCTCCTTTAGCTTGTTCAGATATTGTAACAAGATTTCACATTTTGTTTACATTGCAAAAAGTTTAAAACGTACTCAGTTGCCTAAACCACAGTGTAATGATATAATTTGATACACGTTACTAGAATTCTATTTTTTGAATTATGGTTTTTGTCTCCTTCCATTATTCCTAGGGTGCCAGTGGTATTATTAGTTTCGATCCACGCGTTTTTATCCGTTTCGCTTTTCAAATAAAAGGATGATGACACCAAATGTAATCGCCATGTAATTTTTTAAAGAAACAATCAAACTAAATTAAAAAATTATATGTCAGAACTTCACATTCTAATGGAAGGTCTAAAGATATGTTGTTTTTAAATATTTTGTGATTTTGCTGTTGAATGTTATATGATGGAAATGCGAAGAAAGTGATTTTTCACAAGTAAACTTCAGAAGATAAATAATGAACGCTAGGAAACGAAACCAGTTCTGTAAATCAACATACTAAAGAAAATGAAGATTAACATGATAGCTCGGCACCTAGCAGCGGCCGAGCGGTAAAATCTGCTGAAGACTGGTAGTTAGGTTTGAGTCCTGGCGAATGGGCTGGCTACATGTGCGTCGTGTTCGTGGTTTGTCATTTGTGCAACGTGGATACGAGCCAGTTTCCCTTAAAAAGACCTCCACGGGGCAACCCTCCCTTTCCATGTCTCGTGCCTAAAGGCAGAGGAATAATCAATAGAGATGGCCCAGGTGGATAGGGAAATTAAATATTTTAAGGGATATTAGATGAATATGCATAACATTTTAGTTTGTTAATTAATAGCAGACAAATTAAAAATGAAAGATTTGTATTTTACGTTTTACGAATAGCAAAAGACTCGAATGAAGAGTAAAACAACGCATTAAAGTGAAGCAAAAAAAAAAAAAAAAAAAAAAAAAAAAAAAAAAATTGCGTTTCGCGACTAATACCCTTTTGGGCTAATAAAATAATTCCAGCACTTCACACTATACCGAAAATTCTCACCATATGCTGTTTTTAATACTTTTGTTACTTTTCTGTTGAGTTTTTATGTGACATAAGTGTGAAAAAGTGGTGCTTGAAATCACGTCAAAAAGGCAAGAAATTTTGTGTAAAAAATTTAATAATGATAACATAAACTAAGAAAAGACTGAATAAATAGAAAAACGTCTAGCGACACTTAATACACTATGGGAAATTTTAAAGCCATGTTGTTTCTAAAACTTTTGTGATTTTGCTATTGAATTTTATGTGGCGTTAAATTACATGAATTTTATGATATTAAAAAATGTGTTAGCAGGAGTGAGTCCACGACCAGACTGGTACACTGCGGTTTCAGCAAGAGAACAAAAGGCCTTAACAAATCCTCTGTTACGACGGTTAAATTCTGAATCCTTCTTTCTTTAATTTTTCCTTTCTTTATTTTTTCTAATATGTTGTTAATTATTAACTTTTGCTTTGTCTCAGTTCTGGTTTCTTTTATTTTAAACTTGCTGAGTTTCGATAAACTCCGCAAGGCATAGCTCTAGTTTGTATCTACAAAATATGTTATTGCTAAAAATATTTAATGCGTTTCGCCATCATTGCGCTTATAGCAGCTTGAGAATATTTTAGAATAAGCATTTCAAGACCACGTTTCTCCAATTATGACACATAACCATGGTAAAGATTCCTGTAGAAAACAGATCCGAGTCGTCTAATTTGCTAAAATCTCGATATTCCCTATTAATGATCACGTATGTTATGATGGTAAATGAAGGGAGGATCACTGTCACTTTGAAATGCTTATTTTATAGTAAGAGACATTTAACATAGTCAAGTTTAACTAAAATATTTTTCTTGGACAACTTATAAGGTATTTTTTCCACTTTCCTAGCGTCCGGCGAAAACGGTTGCTTATTTTTCATCTTGCCTGCTTCCAAAAAAATACCTAATGTCTCTGCAAACTCATTACAAGATTAGTTAAAAGAAAAAGAAAAAAGCATTTCGTCAGTTTGTAAATTCATAGCTTGTGATAAAAATACACGTCAAGAATATGAACAGAATAACTGGTCAAGAAATTCCACTAGTCATTGTAAGAAGACATTCTAAGAGTAGTCATTGTAAGAACACATTCTAAGACTAGTCATTGTAAGAACACATTCTAAGACTAGTCTTGTAAGATTCTACTAGTCAATATAAGAAGTCACCATAAAAGACTAGTGAAAGTCTGATAGTCACCAGTATAAGACATAATAAGATAAGATATATCTTATAAAATACTTTCTGTTTTATTTATACAATTATAGATCTTTAAATTTTACATAAAATTTGCAGGCCGTGCTTCATTTCTGATTCTTTTGAAAGTTACGTAATGGAGTTGTGTATATTTTTTAACCTTATATTGGCATTATTATCTGTTTATACCAATTATTCTAAATTATACAAAACTCAATGGTTGGTTATGCATTATGCATTGATCCCTCTACTCCGATATAGCAGCGCCATGATAGGCAATTTATATTATCAAAGATTTAGTCATTTCTTATTTGTTGCTTTACTTTCCCATATTTGAGTTTAACGTTTTCTTTAACTTTTAGTATTAACATTTACTTCAGGAACCACCAGCGGCCACGCAGTAATTTACTGAATATTGGTAGTTCCTATTCCAAGCGAATGGAGTGGCTGCAT